CAGCTCAGTAGCTGTTCCAGTAATGGGAAATCGCATTTTCAATTTTATTTTGACCACAGATACAAATTAAAAACAATCCTTGTGATATCTTCCCTCTCGATCTTACACTGAAGGTGAATGTGGTGTCTGCTGAGGCTTCCTACGTGAAAGAGAGTTCACTTCTCTGGGTGGTGGTTTTGTATCGTGATTGTAAAGGATGATAAAATACAAATGCAGATTGTTTCCAGTGAAAATAAAAAGACTTTTGGAAGATACTTAATGATTGTCTCACCAAGTATTTGAACAAGTATCATAATAAAAATGCTTAGTGAATGATACTGTAAGTAAATTCTTTACTTCTTAAAATGGTAATGAATAATACATAGGCTAATACATGAATGCACACTGAATGGGGTTTTAGAACTACTGTAATCAGCAAAAGCTCTATTTTTTGTATGGTTCCTTTGTGGGTCCTTACTCTTCTTCCAGGAATATCTCCATGATTTCCAGCTTTTTTTCTTTTAAATCACTGAGCTCTCCTCTCGGTGTTTGTGTGGATTTGAATGCGGTGCTTACAGTAGGATAGCAAACAACAGAACTGCAGCTTTATGGATAAGAACAGAGATGAGCTACATCAGCACTTACTGTAATATAACCTGCCAGCACAAAGCCAATCACACCTCCCTCAGCACTCAGAGAATCTCAGCATTATCCTCATCACTTTTTTTTCCACGTTCGTTCTTTAAGGAAAGATGGTGATTACACACCTCTCTTTGCATCCCCTCCTCTGGGCAGTTTGTCTCTGTTCTCCACCGAGTGTATATTGAGTTAGATTCACCAGTGCTCACCCATTCACCCTTAATGCTTCAGGCCAGAAAGAGTATCTGACAATGTGCTAGTTAATTTGATGCAGAGATTGACTGGATGAGCTATCAGACTGCGTTCTGTCAGAGCTGCTCTTTTTCACTCCCCATCTAGGCTGTTGCATTTGCTTACATTTGTAGGCAGGAGGAGTTCTGGAGGAAGGCCTACATAACAGGAAAGAGCTTTCAGATGCAACTCCTGGGGGACAATCGATCTCTCTTTGCAGTGTGCTGTTTTTGCTGCTCCTCTGTGGGGGCCCATTGCTATCGATCCCCATCGTGGTTTTTTTGTTGGGTGTGTAGGAGCGATTTTGTAGTCTGTTTAATTTGGTTTGTCGGAGGCCGTCTGTTTATTCAATTACCTGTTCACTTGGTTGTTTATTTACCATGTCTGAGTTGTGTTGATATTAATTTATATTTGCAATATTGTGGAAAAAGCTTGTCTTTGTTGATTTATGTTTTTCTTTTGTTTTCTTATTTTGTCCCAGCATCTACCTTGATTTGTGCCAGCGGTAATCAGGTTTTTGTAACTCACTGATTAATGAAATCCATAATTGCAATACAAAGTAAAGGACAAAGACTTTCATAAATTGCCTGAAAAGAAACTGAAACATAAAAAAAAAGATTTTAAAAAAGGAAAGAGGAACAGCCTGTGTAACAGGAGGGGGTTGGGGGCTCAGAAAGAAGGATAATTGGAAGATGCAGAGGGTACTGCCTGGTAAAATGTGAACTGTGAATGGAAAACACGCTCAACAACTGGACACTTAGACACTGATACGTGAGTGATAAATCCAGTGCTACTTTAGTTACAATGGGCAGGACTCAGAACACTCGTAAATGTGAAGGACAGGTGATGTTGGTCCTGATATATCAGATTCATCAGAGCAATAATCAGGAGGATAACTATCAGTTATATGTGAAATATGATTTTTTTTTTTCCTCAATTCTGTGGAAATGTGGACGTCATTGCCATGTTAAAATTCAAACATTAGCTAACCCATTAATATCAAATGAGAGAAAGAAGGTTAAATAGTTTAAGTGCTCTTAGTCACATGTTCCTTTTTTGTGAACAGATTCTCAATAGACGAGCACCTCTGAAATGCATGGCATCAAAGATTAGAGGGAGTGCTGAAAAATGTATTCCACCAGTCTTAATATTTAACAGAAGTCTCAATGTTAGGAATACAACCTTTCCTCTTTTCCTGCTTTTAATTCTGGTGATTGTGTCTTGCTCTCAGACTGGTAGAGAGTTCAGAAACAAGCAGCTGTAGCTGGGTTTCTTTGTGGCCTCCTCACCCTTTCTCTGGCAGTACATTCATGCTATAGGGTTTTCTTATCTCTGGGTTCTTTTCTCTGCACTTGTCTTGGATTAAATCCCTGAATGCAGCCATTAGGATTGTGGGTAACTGCACTATACAGCTTTAGTTGTAAAAACAAAGTAATGGGCTACATCAGCGTTTACAATAGTCTCACCAGCCAAGAAAAGCCAATTCATCCACCCCACCGCTCTACCACCACAGAGGGATTCACTGTTCTCATCATTTTACACTGTGGTGGAAAAAAGACGCATTTTTATGTTTATCTCTCGAGGAAGCGCTGGTGGAGACGGCCCCGCTGTGTATCTGAGGCGTTCACTCTTACATGCGCAGCTGTTATGATTGGATTCATTTGTTGGTCCAAGTTCATGCACTGAAGTCGAGGTCAAACGGATCGTTTTTATTGATAATCTCAACTGTTTGGTGAGTCAGGGCAGTAATGGGTGTTGTAGCTCGTAGCAGTGGTGGAAAGCACTGTACTAAAGTACAGTTTTGAGGTATATGCACTTTTATTTTGTACTTCATGTTTTATTTTTGCTACATTTTATGGGCAAATATTGTACTCCACAACATTTATTTAGAACTTCAGTTGCTACTTATTTTTCAGAAGCTGATTAATAAACAAAGCTCAATATGATCTTAGCACTTTATTTTGAAAATTCACAAGCTACCCAGCAGTAATTCACATACAGTAGTTAATCTGGACAAAATGTCATCACTCTGTCACAAAAAAAAAAAAAAACTTTTTTATTTTGTCCTCACTGTGAAGCAGGTTTTAAGAACACACCCATATATACAGCTGAACCCATTAGGGCTGCTGATCAAACAGTGGTTCCCACCTGAAGCACCTGTCCAGCAGGGACAGTTGTTCCTGTTTTGGGGGATTCACAGAGACTAAATGTGACTTGTGTTCTCTCACTATGATTTAGTTTATTCAAGTTTGGCTCAATGGTTAGGACAAAAACATCTCCCATGTAATTGTTTTCTCTTTTTCGCTGGAATCTTTTAACTTTGTAAAAACTAACAGCATGGCAGGCGGTTCGCGCACCGCAAGCGACTCAGCTCGGTTCACTCCAGCAGACGACATGTGCCCTCTGGGAGAATTGCCAATAGCAACAAAGAAAATACATCAGTGCATACTGGTAGCTGACAGGAAACAGCATTAGTAATGCACTGAGCAGGAGTAGTAAAAACATTAGGGAAAACTTTTGTGTAGACCCTGAAATACACACTGTTAAAATGCCAAAACAAAAAATTCACTCATACTTTATGTGAATGGTTTGTCAGTTAAGCGTGCGGACGACAGTAATGCAACTGTACAGCACAGTCATACAGTTTGAGTTAGACTTATATCCATGATCATACCACTGATGAACACTCCACCCACCAATGAAAACTGCCTATTTGTCTACTGTGTGTGTGTGTGTGTGTGTGTGTGTGTGTGTGAGCGCTGGTGCAGTCAGACAACAAGCAGGTGTGAAATCAGAGGTTTTCAGTTTAACTTCACTCTGCATCCCGTAAAATTTCCATGAGAACAATTGTCTATACACTTCTGTTTTTGTGTGTTTTGCCTGCTATGGCTATAAATGTGTTAATAAATGTTAGTACATTTAATAAACGTTATTTGCAGACAAATCAGATCAGAGGCTTTAGATGATCCTACAGTGATAAACGTACAACTTTTTTTTATTCTATCCTAAGTAAAAGTTTTGCTATACATAAAATGCTATTGATCAACAAATGATGTCTTGTCATGACTCTTAATGGACCACTGGGCGTTTAACGTACACAATGCAACGTATTAACATTTCACATTGTTTAGTTAATGACTTTACATTCATTAACATGTATGTACTAAGTTGGTAAGAATAATTAGAATATAACTGATAAATCGTCGATAACAAGGAGGTTTTTGTTAATTACACGAGTCATTATAGCCTCATCGTTTAGTCGATGCATATGAAAATTTAAGTATCTTCAGTGGATGAGTAGCAGTTGAGCCGGGGGGGTCTCAGGTGACCCTGCCCTGAAGCAGGGGTTACTGCAAGGCAGTAGGGAGTACATGGATGACCGAAGTAGATGTTTTGATGTAGGTTATGGAGGACAATACAATATATGAAATACAGTGTGTAAAATGAAGTTAGCAAAACTACAGCTATAAACGTATAAATTAGATCTCCATCCTCAAAAATGCTGCAGTGTGCTAAAATCACATTATATCAGCCATTTATTTTGGAGTAAACCAGTTTAAATGTGAAGCTTTAAAACATACACAGACACTGAATCTTTGACTTTATGTATAAAGTTGTTTTCTGACATTGCCTGCTCCCAGTGGTGTTACTGTTTCTAAAAAGGCATAGCAAGCAGATAACAATGGACACCAGTAGGTCAGGTGCACTGATAGCAAAGCAGTATTGTTACACATGAACAGCTGACATGTCTCACTTTCACCCTGTGAGGTATGTTGTATTTCTACATCAAAGGTTGTTGGATATGTCACCAAGGATCCTGGTCCATTTTGAAACAAAATGTTTAGTCCCTGGGTGTCTTGTTACTACAGCCCTTCATCAGAATAAAGGCATAGTCTGTCAGTGGTGAGAAGCAGAGATCCACTATGTTCATTATATTTGATGTTAAGTGTCTGATGACAGGTTGTCATGAATTTAGCTCCTATTCACATCACTAGCTGTAGTGTTTTCAACATATTCGTCTATCAGCTTTAATGTTGCTTTACTCACCTATGCACTTCCTAATCTAAGGTTTTCTTTGTGCATCATTGTGGCAGTATTGCTAAGATGCACAGTTTTGTATCACCTCATAGAATAACTCTTTTATTTTACAGGCTCCCAGAGGTACGGATCTCAGACAATGGCCCTTACGAATGCCACGTGGGCATCTATGACCGGGCAACGAGGGAGAAGGTTGTCCTGGCTTCAGGGAACGTATTTCTTACTGTTATGTGTGAGTAGCACCACTGTACTTTATTTATATTTAAAACCCAAGGAAACTAATTTTCACCAGTGTCTTGCTTCAGTATTCAGTGTATGTTTGTTTAAAAAAGGATGCTGGGATGGGACATGGGACGCACAGAGAGGGAACTGCTTAAAGTCAGTGAGATTGATAGCGTGGCAAAGCCCTCTTAGTCACTGAAAATAAAAAAAGGGCATTTCAAGTTATATATGAGGTGCAGGAGGAGGGATGTTTTAAGACTGTTTTTCAGCATGTAAGAAAAAAATCTGCCATAAAAAAATAAAAATTGTTTGCAATAATGGAAGTAGCTTCACTGTTTAGCAGCTTTCCGTTTATGCTCATACAGTGCCTTTCTTTAGGAATGTGGATAGGGCTCCACGAAAATAGTTTTAATTATTGGACGGTCTCTTTTATCTCTGTACTAAACCTGAAACATTTGTCAGTGAACAAAAAAACATTACCTGCATTTTTGCTAGCAAACACAGTTGGGATGAAAACTGTTTAATTAGTTTAATTGCTCTAATGCCGGGGATCAGTTGTCTCACACCAGTGTACTTTGAAGCTGGGACCACCCATCCTTTCTGGTGCATGTAGTTTTTTAATTAAAAATTACACGCTGCCGGGATTGATGTTGGCTCAGGGAAGAAAACAGTGATGCTACAGGCAACAAGCAGATTAATCACCCTCGGCCAATGAATACCAACGATATTTGACACAGAGCTGGTGCACGTTTATACAGTGTTTATGATTATTATTTATATTTGCCTCCTCCACAGCGTATACTTTTTCATCCTGTTGCTGTGATGGCTTCAAGAATTACTGTATACATTTCCATGAGATTTTGTATCTGAGCTATGTCTGAACAATTCAGTAAATTTCACTGGTGATCAGGATTTACAGTAGCATGTCTGTTATAGCTTCCTTTATCTACAGTATGAACCTAACAGAGATGGATGTGATTTCAAATCCTGAGGGTGTTCTTTTTTTCGGGGCCCAGAAATTGATCCAGCTGAAAATTCAAGTTGAGGAATGATGCCTTTTTGCTATAACAACAAGTGCTGAGGGGCTCTGGCAGAGATTATGCGCTGTCTCGTGTACAGTGGCTTCAGTGGCTTTTTTGAGATTTTTGCTAAATTAAAAAAACTAAAATCTGTCATTTAGAAAAGTAATCAGACCCTTAACTCGGTACTTTGTTGAAGCCCCTTTGGCTTCAATTTTACAGCGTCAGGAGTTCTTGGGTAAATCTGGCCAAGCCTTTCACACCTGGATTTGGGTGGGTTATCCCATTCTTTGTGAGAGATCCTCTCAATCTTTTTGAGATTGAATGGAAAGCAACTGTGCACGGTTGCCTTCAGCTCTCTCCACAGGGGTCTGAATACTTTCTGAACCTAGTAGCCTAATCTGTCTTATAGATACATTGATTTAAAACTGATGAATATTTACTTTTTTTTTATTAACTTGAAACTTACACAACAGCTACTACCGTTATTCGGTTACTGTGATTTGTCCTTCCATCACTGGAGGAGGTTGTGTGCCTAGAGCCTATTGGTCACCCTGTGCTGTAATTATTGTATTGTAAGTCCTGTCAACAATTGCTGCTCCGTTTGCCTTTAATGCATCGATTCCAACAAAGACATGCTGTTCTATGTGTGGTCCTGTGGCTAATTAGCAGTGGTATGCGTTTTCATTGGAACACTGAAGTGGGAGACACTGTGTGACACTATTACTCCATTATCACATTTTGTACTTCCAAGAACTGCCTTTGTTTTTGACTTTTTTATGTAACATAGACATTACTTTCTTTTTAAGCCCTTGACCCTTTGTTCAGTTCTTTTTGATGGACAATCATGTGCCACATTGACGTTGGTGGAAGACTTTATTAATGGGCGGGGACTTAACTCAGTTAACTGTTTCTTGTGGGTGGGAAGAAGTGAATTATGTAGCTGTGGGATAGTCAGAGAACACTAACTCAGCTAGGTCTTAAATCACCACTCCACGAGAGAGGAAAAAGAATGGCCTCTGGCATTGTGGCTAATTGCCGTCTAAACTGAAACAGAATTATTCATAACCTATTAGTGTGTCAAGTTCAGTGGGAAGTAAAGAAAAAAGTAGAGAGCAGAAAGAAAGAAAATGAGAGGGAAAAAGTTAATTAATAGGAAGCAGTACAAGGAGAGTATTTTAATTTTTTAAAGGGCTTCATAAATAAGAATTATCATTTTAATGAATCCCCTGCCAAGAAATTCAATCATCCAGCTCTAAAAGGCTAAACCCTGAACTCTTGGTACCTCCGCTACTGTCCTTCACTCTCTGGAAAGTTTGAAAAGTCTTTTTCTTGCATTGCAAATACATATGTTGACTTTTTTTGAGCCTGAAGGCATGAAACAGTCTCTCAACAAGATGACATTATGTCATAGTCGAGCTACATCCAATAATAAATTGAGTTAATCAATGTTAATGACTTCTGGAGACACAGAGAAAGTGTAATGTACAATGTTTTTAACACTTACATGTATGCAATATCTAAATAATTGATAACGAGGAACATGAATAATACACACTATTGTACCATAACGCTGAAGGAGCTGTTGTGGGCCTCTGTGTCTATAAGCATAATAATTGATATATGATAATTTATGATGAGCCACAATGTTATCAAAGTTCAAAATCAACATCTGAACTGAAAGGTTATGGATGAAAAGTTCACTGAGAGAAAATGCTGAACTACACCAATGGACAAAAACCTTTGTAGACCATTGAATTTACTGACAAACCATTCTTCATCTCAGTTTGCAGAGGGTACATCCAACAAGCTGTAAATACACACTGAGTAGAGAGTTATCAGCATAACAGAGTTTGACCTTTTGACCTCCTTTTTCTTTGTTACAGTGTAAATGAAGAGAGCTCATCTGCAGATGAGAAACTCGTGGTTTTCATGCAAAATTACAGTCAGTCTGCTTAGAGCAGCATTGATGAATGGTAGTATAGAAGCACATCGCTGACTAAATAATTTCACTTATTTTCAATCACTGCTGTGCTGAAAATTTAAATACCACTGAATTTATTTCACTAAAGCATTTGACTTTGAAAACCATCTTTCTGAATTTACTTGGGCTGCAGTTCAGACTTGCTATGTCCAAAACACCAAGGAAAATCTATCAAACCTGAATGGAATTACTCCAGTCTTTTGCAAGCATGGATGTATTAAAGACGTACTGAAACGGCTTTAACTATGTGGCTAAGTTCAGAACTTTGATTTCACTTCAGGTTTCTTAAACCCCTTGATAGTCCTTCAAATTTAAGTAAGTTTTTGATTTGGCCAAAGCAATCTTAATGTCAGTGCAGGTCACCTTGAGCACATGAGTTCGCTCAAGCAAATTATGAAAACAGTTATGGGGCACTTTATCTTTAGTTTTTATACCTTTATTAAGTCAGGTTTTGCTGAGCATTTAATTTGTTTGGACTTCAAAGATACATTTTTAGGCAGCTGAGATATTTGGAGGCACATTATGCAGTTTTTACAGTATAATACAGTCGGTTATATTGTGATTTTAACATTTAAGGGGACAGACTTCTGACCCGTCACCAGTCACATAAAATAGATATTTTATTCTGCAAGCAGTGACATATCCATCCCTGTAAAGCTAAGGTCATAATTTCAGGCTCTGGTGGGTGAAAAAATCAATACCTCTTTTCTCAGTGGTAGAGATAGGGTCATTATTTGTTATTACCCAAAGTGATTCCTATGCGACATGCCAAAGATTACAAAGAAAGGTTATTTGTCTCTTCAAAACAGAGTGTGACCTTGGGAAGCCAGCTTCTGGTTGATCTGTGTATAGTGTCCAAGACAACTAAGGCTGTGTTGTTGTCTCTATCAGAGGACTGTTGGGTTGCGACTCCTCTGCTGGATGAAGAACATCTTAATAGCCCTTGTGTTTAAACATCACATCACGTAATTTCAAAAATCCTTTCCTCTAACCTTTTGCAAAGCGTGAGGGTGTAATTTAAAGGATACCCTTCACGAGGCAGCAGGGCTGGTATTTATAACCCCTGGAAACAGAGATGATCGCTAAGGTGGAGAGGGACTAATTACCTTCTCATCCCATAAAACTGAATTCGCTTCAATAATGGATGCCCAACTTTAATTAAGCGCTGTGTATATTTAGGCGCTCGTTTATAAATGGGTGGGATTAATGGCGTACAAGCCAAGCCTAAAGACAGCAATGCCGGCAGACACAGCAGTTCGGTGTACTAGTAGGAAGAGCTTCGGGACTGTGTGTGACTGTATGCATGCTAGTTTGCATGCTTATGTGTGGAGAGGTTTGTTTGGGTGGCGTAGTTTGATGGATTGCCAGGAAGCGGCTGTTCCCTCTGTGTCCTGCGCTTGTTGGGGAAGTGAAGAGAGCATTTTGGCCAGCATCGGACATGTTGGCCTAATTCACAGCTCTCAGATAGAATGGCAATTTTGTCAGATTCATGAGTTGTGATTTGAAGTGTTTGTCATATCATTTTTAGCATGCCTCAGGTCACCATGGGGGACTGTTCAAGAGTCCTTGATATGATTCTCTATTACCATCTCACACTTAATGTCCTACAGTGCTCTATCAGCATCAAAACTGGTTCATTTGATTTTGTGCAAAAATGCTTCATGCAGAAGCCAACATTGTTTTATTTTGTGACAAGGTAGAGCATCAACTGTTGTCAACATGATGGAAATCTTGTCTCATGTCAACAAGTCCTCAAACCTTAACAACAGTATACAGCAGCGTGTTCATTGTCTGTTGCAATAGAATCCACAGGACCCTTTCAGCACCATGCTTTCCAGACCTTTGTCATTATGTTATTATTGAGACTCCACTGCCTGGTACCAGCTTGGCTCAGCCCAACTCTACTCACCTTATGTGTTTTTCATAAGTCAAAGGTTAGGGATAGTACCTGGTACATGGTACTATTTTTGGTATCACCCCTGTCAAGGTTCCAAGCGAGCTGAGGCG